CTCCATTTTCTCCTTCTCCGTCCATTTTTGCCTCTTCTTTTGCCGTTTAGCACCGGTGCACAAAGATGCGACAAAGCGATTCAACGCAGCCCTCTTTCGTTTCCATTTAACAGAGAAAGAGAGAGAGAGAGAGANAGAGAGAGAGAGAGAGAGAGAGAGAGAGAGATCCCGGGCAAATCTGTTTGCTGTTTTCTCCGTGGCCCGTGCAAAAGTTGACGAGACTTTCAGTGTTGGTTGTTGAACGAAGGGGGATAAGGGCGCGCGCACCTACTTTTGCTTCTCAATGCCCGATCTTCGAGGGCCCTCGAGCGTGTGTTCCCGCCGCCGCCTCTTCTGTTTGTGCTACCTGTGTATCGAGGGGCGCACACGCTTCGATATTGGCCGCTTAAAAACCGTTTACCATCGGGATCTACGCTCGGATGAATGCCGTCATATTTGGATCTCGCGTTTCGAGAGAACGAATATCCTTGGAGAGATTGGATTGAGAGAGAGAGAGAGAGAAAGAGAGACGATGGAAAATAACGGAGGAGCACGATATTTTTATTAAAAAAAAAAAAGTTTCTCAGAGGATGCGTTCTTCGAGATGGAAACCAGAAGAGAATTCTGTATCTCTCTCTCTCTCTTACTCTCTCCCTACCAGATATTCAATTATGGTAGATCGGTGCAAAGATACGCAGCGGCGTGACAACTATATACGCGCGGGTCAGTGTTCAAAAAAAAAAAAAAAAAGAAAAGAAAAAAAAGAAAAAAAGAAACTGCCGCCTTCCACGAATAAATAACGCGCGCTTTGCATACGAGGGGGGCGAGCGCGGTGTCTCCACCAGGGCCGTACACGGTAGCGATCGGGGAGAGGGGAGGGGGGGAACGGTGACCGCGGAAACGACGTGCATTGGGTCAACAACCAGCCTAAAGAGGAGCGGAGGAGCGGAGGACAACCCCCCTCGTCGAAATTCCTGTCCAAGGTATCGATTTCCGTGTAATCAAAGCGAGGGGGCCCGTGGTGAAATCGAAATCCTCTGGATTTTCTGTTTTCACCGGAGGAAAGGAAAGGCATAGACCTGGTAACCGACCCTGCGGTAACTCTAGATGGGCATATCGTGCCCGTGGCGCCCCTATCTTTTATGCCGCCAGTTTCTGAAAATCTCCCGGTTCGATCTGACTTCCACGGCCTGGCTGGAGAGCGAGAGAG